ATTAGAAGACAGGTTATATCTTACTCTGATGTCTTCTTCCCCTACCAGATGCAATTACAAATTTTCACAAAGGCAAACTCCTGGAACACAATCCTTTCCCAGCTTAGGTATGTCTTTGTGCTACTCTCGATAGTTCAAACACATATCAGGTCTTCCTGTTTCAAGAGCAAGGCTTTCATCATAGTTATAATCCCCTGAACCTACACTGAAGTTGATACAAGGTAGGAATGGCCATAGTTATCACTCTATCTTATTGCATATTTCAAAGTCAACTGAAAATCTTAGAATAAATTCTGCCAGTTTACAACTAATAATGTGAACTAAATTAGTATTTCATATATGGGCGTGTAAATACATTGCCTTTAACTCTTTAGTCAATTCAGGTATTTCAGTGATACTAAGCTTCATTTTGGTTTTAGTTTACATTTAGAAGATCTATTTTCATGACCTATTGAGAAGAGAGCTGAGCTTGTGGTAATGATCTCTTGCAGCTTCTGTGCTGTTGCATCAGTGTCTGTACAGCAGCATCACTACCATGACAGTGGCCAGCATGCCCAGTGTACATGATGCTGTTTGAGAATGATCCTGCGGCAATCGAGTCCCGCCAGCCATCACTCAGTGTGTGTTTTGAGCCTACCCACCTGCTAGATCTCAGGACACGGTGAGGGCGACTCTTTCCTGAGCTCGCAATGCTTGTCACAATCAGTGATGGGAACAAAGAAGTGCCTCTTTTTCTGTAGCAATTAAATAATTCTGTTCCCTTATATAGTGAGCTTGCTTGAATCTATGCAAGGATGAACCTTGTTTGTCTTCTGAGCAGTGACTATGCTCCTTTCCTACTTTCTGAGCTCCTGCTTTATACAAAAGCTTCCCCTGATCACTGGTCTCCTATCAATTAATTATTCTCTTCTTCCCCTCACCGTTTTTTCTTTCCTGAGTGTTCTGAGAGGTAAGTGTTCTGTAGATAGATTTTTCTGAGCTATTTCCTGATATAGCTTCCTTGCCTTTCAAACTCCTTTCASCAGCTTTGCTGCAAGGAAGCTGCAGCACATTGTCTGCTCTGCGTAGGCTTCTCATTCTCCTGGTGTGTCTGTTCTGTGTAGACTACTCATCCCTCTGGTGTATCTGCTATGAACTGCTCATCCCAGGAATGCTGTGAGCAGGGTCAGAAGTCTTGCTCTAATTGACAGGAGCATCTTTCATTCTGTGCCACCTGAGGCTTCAGTCTTGGTACTTTTTCTCTGGAGATTCCTCTAACGATTTTCTCTGTCCTGGTGCTGTTATGGTCATGCTACCAAGGGTGTGTAATGTGTCCTGAGTTGTAGCTGCTGTTTTGTGTGGCACCAGACTAGGGTAGCCTTGCAAGTTGAATGACACACACTTTCTGTCTGACATTTTACTTAATATGTGTGTTAGTTCTATCTCCAGACCAGATAGCTTGAATATCTGTGATATTCACATGAAGAAAGCCTTGGTGTACCCTGATTGTGTCTGAGCTACTTCATCCAATTCCTTCTTCAGCATTATCTTAGATCACATGGAGGATGAGGTGAATGAATGTCTTTATGCTGAAATAAAGTGAGGCTCTCCTGCTCCATGCTGTGAAAGTCCCATGTTTAGTACAGGACAAGTAGGTACTCTGGGGTCTCGTGCTAACTTGTCAGGGACCAACTCCCTGTATTGTAAGTCCCTCCCAATTCTGATCTTCACAAGCCACGTGGGACTTAAAATTTACCTTTTTCTTCTGATTTGGAGTCATAGAAATTAATTCTTAAACTCTAAGGCTCATGTCTTATTGAGCTGTAGTACTTTCTATGTATCTCTGATATGAGTATTCTTGTTACAATGATTATATGTGACCGAATTGGCAGAACAATCACCTCCCTTCTCATACCACCCAAAAGACTTCCATCTGCATTTTTCTCCCCTCTGGTACACTCTGCTTGCTGAAGAGTATCAACTGGTTTCCTCCTAGACTTAACTTTTAAGCTGTTCTAGGTCTTATTGAAGAGTCAAATGCAAATACTGTCACACAGGAAGTGGTGGGGCATGGAAAGGAAGGGCGCTTGCAATGACATCTTGCCACCAGCTTAGTTTAGCTGCTGTGCCTGGATGTGCCCACTTAGTGATCTGACCAAAGTCAGTAAATGGAGCATCATCTTCTATGTGCATCTGCATAAAAAAGAAACTGCTGCTGGTGTATGTGGTCTTCTTATTTTCTGTAGTGCTTCCAGTTTCTAATCTTTTGTAYCTATAGGAACAGAGTTAGATCTGGCACAGTGCTCAGGCAGAGAAGAGAGAAAGTGAAGGCAATGTACAGCCACAGTACTATGTAGGGCCTTTTTTTAAATTTTCCACAGTTTTGGGAATATTAACAGTCTTCATAGTTACTTCCAGTAGTTTCAACCCAGTATCTGATAAGCACAAGTCATGCCTGCATTGCATCTCAGTTGCTCAGATCAAAAAGCAGTTTAAATCAGACTTGATCCCTCATTTGGTGTGCGCCCTTGCACTGCAATAAAGTAAAACCTGCATCTTTAACCCCTGCTGGACCAAGTGCCTGCATAATCCCAGACTTTCCGTAATCCTAGCCGTTCTGATGTTGCGCATCTTAAGGGGGGAGGCTGTGCTGACTTGTCTGCCTCTGCCAGTCACAGGCCCTTCATGGGAGTCCAACAGGGAGCCAAGGTGGGCACATGGTATCTGCCTGCTAACAGTATAATCTGGTGGCTCCTCTGTGCTTTGTGTACCTCCTGCATAGGAGGATGAGTTGTCCTTCAAATGAGGCTGAGAAAGGTATTGCTGCTAATCTCCCTTCAGTTGTGAATCAATTCCCAGAATTAGTGTTATGGTTGGTGAAGAGAAAAATAAAAACATCTTTCTTTTTTTTTTTTTTTTCTTTTTTTTTTTTAATCAAAATCAGCATTAGAAATAATTTTGTCTTACCAGAAGTGGGGGAGGCACATGGTGTTCCACTAGTGAGAAAACTTCCCAAACCTCACCAGAAGACACACCTGGTACCTTACTTTAAAGAGCTGATGCTGGAATAGGACTTTTTCATCTATGCTGCCTGTATGTTTAGCTCTATATCAAAAATTTCCAAATAGTATTCTGCAGTGCTGGGTAATTTAATACACAGGAAATCTCCCATGCAAGGTCATTTACTGAGTTATAAAACTTACAATGTTTCAGAATTCTCTAAGTGTGTAAGAATATAGTACTTAATTAAACTTGCGTTTAAGAAATTTCATTTAAGAAAATATAGAGCTTAGCAGTTAGTTCTTATTCACAGGGTATTCAATTTGAATTGAATAATGTTATTATTTACTGTTTATCAACCCTTTTATTTAAATTGCTGAGAAGGGATAGCTATTTGTCTGTTTCTTTATGCTTTCCAGCAGCAATGTAAAGATTGCATGCAAGCTAGAATTAAGCATTTTAACAAAACCAAAACATTCTGTGACTAGTGGAAATTTGTGGGTAATGCGATCGTAATAATCCACCAATAAGCTTGGTCAAAAGTTATGTGATATCTTGCCACAAATGTAGTGGTAACTGTTGGCTAACTCTGGCTAGGGACTGTTCCAAGGAATGCTGTCAGGAATTGCTCTCTGGTGCATCCAAAATTTTCTTGAACTGGTAGTACACTGAATTAGTCATGCCAGAAACTAAGATCTCTGCATCAAATGAAAAACTGACAATAGTAGGTATGAGGGGAATTTGGACTGGAGATTAAGTACAGCACTTGTATTTTAGGTGTAGTACAAAAGCACTTAGAGTAAAATAACCCTTTCCTACCCATCTACCTTATAGCTCTTTCCTTAATGTAAGGCATTTATTTAAAAACAGCACTGTACTGCTTGCTGCCGCTTTTGCAATGATACAATGCATATAGAACTGAAATGAAAAATGCTGATATCTTAATCATAAAACACAAGTTTTTAATGTGTGCTATATCTTTATGTGAAAAGGTCCACCTCTAACACCGTTCCTCCCTTTTTTTTTAAGACCTTTTTTGCCCCAGTGCTGCTTCTGGTTATGACTGCTAAACTCGCTAGGATGTCTCCTGTTCTTCAGAAACTTAGGGTTATTTCCTTGTGGCAGTTAGGTCTTCCTTGTCCCCGTAGAACTCAGTGGTTGAACTTCCTGGAGCTAGGAAGACTTGGGTTTAATGTTGACCATCGATCACAGCTCAGGGTAACTGAGTGAAAAGTGGTGGTCTGTAAAGTATAGGTCAGGGGTGATGACGCACAAGTGCTGTTTTATCTTTGACCTCTGTAAACCCTGTGGGAACACTCGGTCTCGCTCATCTCTGTCTCCTGGGCTCAGCTCTGACAAGCTGCAGAGAGGGAGGGGAAAATAAACTAAACCCAGCACACTCGCCCCCTCGGAAATGCTATCCCATCGGAAACTGAACGGATGGTGGTTCCTATGCTTGGTTTGTCACTACAGAACACCTTCGAAGCTCTCTCTTGGGCAGGCTGTGCCCAGGAGCCACAGACAGCTGTGAACCGGTGTCGGCAGGCGAAGCACGGCACAGAAAGCCCTTCTGCAGGGCAGATGCTCCCCAAGACCTCGGTCGGTGGCAGCAGCCGCTGCAGCTTTTAACTTCCCAAGGAGGAAAGCCAAGCCCCCACGCGCTGCTGCCGGCACACCGCCCAGCCGCCCATCGCCACCCATCAGCCCCTGAGCCCTGCTGGGGGCCCGCTCCGCTGAGTGTCGGCAGAAGGGGCCCAAGTAGGAGGCAGGCAGGCCTCCCGAGCTGGCTTTACAAGGGAATGCTGTGGCAAGAAAACAATGGAGAGCCACCCCCTCCCCGCCCTCCCACTGGCGCTCCCAGCACCACGAGAAACGCGCTACCGCTAGGTGGCGCCGCAGCGCCCCGCCCCGCGCGCGGCCGCGGGGCGAGGTGCCGGGAGGGGTGGCGCATGCGCAGTGGGCGCGCCTCGCCCAGGCCACGCGCCTCTGCCCCCTGGCCGCGCCGCCGCCACCGGGAGCGGGAGGAGAAGGAGGAAGGAGGGAGCGAAGAAGGGAGGGCAGAAGGGAGGGAAGAAGGGAGGGAAGAAAGGAGGGAGGCAAGTCCGGCGGCCCTCTCGGGTACCGCCAGCGGCGAGGGAAAGATGGCGACGCTGGGAGGCGAGTCGCAGCCCTTTCCCTCTGCTGCTTTGGCGGCGGCGGCCGGGGTGGGCGGCGGCGGCGGCAGCGGGGCGCTGGGTCTTCAGGCGCCGCTAAACCGCGGTCTGGAGCGGGCGCTGGAGGAGGCGGCGCACTCCGGGGGCCTCAACCTGAGCGGTAGGAAGCTGAAGGAGTTCCCGCGCAGCGCCGCTGGCCTCAGCCACGACCTTTCTGACACGGTGCGAGCAGGTGAGCCCAGGCGAGCGGTCGGGGGCGCTCAGGGAGGGGGCGGACGAGCAGCGGGGAACGTTGAATCGCCCGAAACCCCCTCCCCGCCCTCTCAGGCCACACTGGTGTCCCTCAACCTCCTTGTGAGGCGAACACCCACTCCCTACCTTTTCGTTAGCCTTTCCTCGGGCCCGTCCCCACACGGAAGCCGAGCCCACCCCCATCTCTCCGTGGACCCGTGCTTTCTTTATTCCCCCCGCCTTGGTGTATGAAGTGGGTGTTTGCTTCCATATGGCTGGATCTGTGCACGCTCCCCTCCATTCCTCCGCTCTGCGTTTGGTGAGGTAGAGCTGCCTCTCCCGTGGCACACTGGGGGAATGTGTGGGGAATTCTTGCTCGCACCTGTCCTCTTCTCTCTCTGGGGAATATGCGTCTCTGTGCCACTTTTCCCTGACTGCTGAGGTTTGCGGTGGCAGCCAGCCCACCTTTCATTCAGCTGCGGGAGGAATGCACACACAGTGCCGGGGTGGATACTTGCTGCTTCTGTCTTTCTGCTCGTGGGTGAACGCACATGACACAGAGGGATGCAAGTCCGTCTGTAAACACAGTGAGATATTCATGTGCCCCTGAACATGTCTCCTGTTTGCACTCCATAGGTTCATAGGAAGACGTTTGCTGTGCACCAGGCCCGGGGGAGCATGCTACCTCTCACAAATGCCACTTGTTCAGCACTGGGGTTGACATCCTTCCTAGTTTTCTTACAGTCATGTAGCCACAAGTGCCGGCTCCATGCAGTGCTGTCTTCCAGGGCAATTGTGGAGAGAAATCTCTGTCTTCTCACGCACTGTATGTATTCTACAGTGGGGGAASCATCATTACATAGATCTGCAAGAGGGGATAGGCCTGACAGCCCTGCAGGCAGGAGTGTGGGGAGAGATGTGTTCAGTCTGTGTTAACTTTCTTCCAACATGAAAAAAGCACACTTACTTCTCACCTGAGGGGGTATACCCACCTCAAAGGGTCATATCAATGTTCGCGCCCCTGTTTATCCCAGATGTTGGAACGTAATCTCTTCTTTACATCGTGTCACTAGGTAGAGCAGTGCAAACGTGCATTAGAAGAATATATTAGCGTATTGCTAAGGTCTTCAGTGTATGGTCTCCACATGCCCTTGTGTCCCCATTTGCTTGCTGGAGATAGTTGTGTTGTGACAGCAGAGCAGGAGACATGTAGTCACTTGTTCTCATCCCACAAAACAGCAGGTGCTATATCTGCATGCAAACATGTGATAACATGAATCTAAATTCTCAGCTACTCCTGTACATGAGAGTATTTATGCCTTTATGTGGAGACACATGTGCTGACTACTTATTGTATCTATCCCAGAGCTAATGCCTCAGATGTGTGGTAGGAGTTATGTGTTATTGTTGTTTAGCTTTGTCACTTGATGGCTGTTGCTGAGTGGATTTCACATTGGATTGTGTGAGCACCTATATCATCAGTAAAAGAGAAGTATGAAGGAAACTTGATGAATGAAACTACCATGAATTGCTAGCATGAATTATCATACTAACCATTAGTTGACTCAGTAGCAGATATGAAAGTGATAGACATGGCACAGGAATTACATGTGGTTAGAAGAATGACTTTCAYCTTGTCATCCCAAGCAAAGTGTTTTTTATCTCATTTCTTTTTTTCAAGTTGAAGTCTAGCAGACATGCCATGATACAGGATAAATAGTTTGCAGATCCAGAAATTTAGCTTGTTTAGTTTGACCTAATATTGAACCAAATCATTGAAAAACCAAATAATATATTGAGATTATATACTGGGAAGAAAATTGTTTGATTGGTAGTGATTGCATGTTAGTATTTGTGCGTTTTGTAAGTATGTGCTATACAAGAGCTGTGTGTAGTATGTGTAGGTAGCACCTGCTTGTTACATGCTTGCTGTTCTGCTGATTTTTCCAGGAAAAATGTAGTTTTTATCTTTAAGTAGTATTGTGCTTTTGTCAGAGTTTACATGGAAAGCATTCAATATGAAGTTGAATGTAGAATTGTGTGTTCATTCTTTTTGTTTGATATAAGGAGTGGTGTAGATCAACTCATGTCTTAATCTTGCAACAGCAACAGCCCTTATATTATTGTCCCTTTTTGGAAGAACACTGTGTAGTTGCTTAATGGTTTTGTTTGTAACAGCTTGTTGTAGCTTTTTGACGGGAACTGCCTTGTGAGTTGTGCTGATGTATTTCCAAAAAATCCATGTTTCTTTTCACTTGTTACATTACATAACTAAAATATATAAACAGAAGAGATGCTTGGCTTAAGCCCAGATTTCTGAAGCTCTTGGGGCAAACTCTTGATAGGAATTTTCTCTCCTGCTTCCTCTCTATAAATGTGAATGGTAGAAACCTTTCTTGTACTACTTGGAATATGTCCTTGAAATGAGTGACTTAAAGTTTAGTATTTGATGTGCTGACATGTCTCTGAAGCCTTGAAACTTTGGGGTTTGGGGTAGGGATAGACTTTCCCTGGTTTGGGGCTAGGGAGCAGGTAGGGGAGGAGGGGATTGCTAGTCTCGTTGAAAAATGAAGATACTCCTTGATGTGGAGAAGAGTAGTGAGCGGGGTTGAGTTTAGAGGCCTGAGGAGCAGGGATTTCTAGAAAACTGAAACGATGTCAGTATTTTGACAGTGTTTATTAGTATTAGAGACTGAAAATACTTTTTGATTCAGAAAGCGATGGTCTACAACTACTCTCAAATAAAATATTATCAAACTTGTTTTCTAGAAAGAATATGAATGCTTTTTGTGGATCTAGGAAGAAGGAAGTGTTCAACTTTAAGTTCTCTGACCATGTATTTTTTTTCCCGTAGTTAGAAGTCAGATTTTTTTTTATAGCAATTGCTGCACTTATGAAATGGACATGGCTTGTTTGCCTTTAGCAGCTGGAATAGGATAGTTTGTTTTTTCTAGTTCTTAATGCAGTTACATTCTGTGATAACTGCAGAGGCTGAACTGTACTTGTCACTTTCTATTCGTGGGGCTTCTTATTATGCTTTTTTTTCTGTGACTTATCTTTACATTAAATACATCTTGTTTATGGAAATGTGATAGAAGATTTCTTCCTCAGTCTTTGAGAGCTCTGCTCAAGGGCTGAGTGACTTGGTCAAATGGAACTTTCAGTCAGTCTGCACACAGATGGGAGTGTTTCAGTACTGTTAGAAAAAAATAAAACCTCTGTGTTAAGTGTCTTGAGTTTAGTCAGACATTTTAAACCACATCAGTGTGGATGCAATGTAAAAACCATTTCAAAAATAATAAATACTATTCTTACCACTTTTATTACAGGCTGGGTTATGCAGAAGGCAGTGGCACAGTAATCACATAGTTCTTAGGTAATAGCATGCAATTATATTCCTCCAAACCACTGGGAATGCTGGAAGCATACTTTATAAAAGAGGAAGAAAAGGCCCTAAAGAGCTAACAATGGCTGCCTACAGTAATACTTCAACCTTTTTCTGTAGGCTTTGATTGTATTTCTGAAGACAGATCCTCTGAAGCTTTTCTGGTGAATACCTGCTTCATCTGTTTCTATTGGATGAGTTAGGCACATGAGGAGGGATTACTTGCTGCTGCTGCTGCTGGTGGCATGGCAAAGAAAATAAATTCTGTGTATTGCATGCTAGGTTATTAGGAAATAGTTACAAATTGAAGTATTTGATTGCTAATTTGGTCAGTATGAAATTTTGGAAGGAATTTGTAGCTCCTACCTGCTATTTTTGAAAGTCCTTCTAAGTGGACTGTGCTTGCCAGACAATGCTGTGTTGAAGACATCTTTGCCTGACAGCATCTTTGAAATAAACTTTTCAGCTGTTATAATTGTGTAACTAGGGATTTGTTTTGAAGATGTCTGAAAATTCCCGGTGTCACTGTGGGCATTGATGCTGATTCAGATGACATACGTTCTTTTCATTCCTCTTTGCCAATAACAACAGCAGTAATATTTGTTTCCCCCCATGTTTTTTCCCATTAAATATGATGTGGATGCTCAGAGCAACCTTACCTAGTCAAAGATGTTGCTGCTTCTTGCAGACGGGGTTGAACTAGATGATGTTTAAAGGTTCCATCCAGCCTAGACCATTCTATGATTTTGATTTAATTTTTTTTCACTTATTTTCTCCACCTGCTTTATTAATGTAATTCTTCCTTCACTTCTGAGAATACTTRTAATTACAACAGTAGATGTCAATTGATTCCACCTACTCTTAAGTGCAGGTGGTACTGGGAAGGATGTCACACAGACTCGGTAGTTTGTGCTACTGCACACTTTCGTATATCAAATATAATATCACCAAATGGACTCTTTTTTAGAACTTCATTGTTATTTGGCCATTTCAAGATATTTGATATGCCTCTCTCAGTTTAAGAATTCTCTCTGATAATTACTTTGAATAATTCATCATTTTAATTAGTGTTTTGATTGAATTGTGAGGTTTTTTGGATGAGGCTGAGAGCCTTTCATTTTGACCATTTAATCTAAACTCATTTCAATAAATAATGTCTTTGTAAGGCTAAAAAAAATAGAATTCTGTTTCTTTTTCATGTTCAAAAGTCAGTCCCTTCCTACAGCCTTCCTGTGTTTATTTGAAGATTTCTAATCTTACTTACTGTTTTTTTTACACAGATAATATCTTAAGTATATTAACACAGGGAGAGAGAATAAATATGTTTGCTTATTATGACAAATGAATTGAATATCACCCTGCAGCCAAAACTTAGGAGATACAATTATTGAGTCTAAAAAATGGAGAAAAATCGATTTTGTATTCATTATTATGTATCCAGCTATATATAACATTATTATGTATGTAACAATTTCTGACTCCACCTGATTGTGTGGTCTGTCTGGACATCTCTGTGCCAACATATTCTAGTGTCTGGTTTTTACTCGTAATCAGTGCTTTGGGAAATCTCTCTAGAAGAGATTTTGTAGAAGCAGTGATGGGCATAGTAACTTTCA